ATGGACTGGAAACCCCAAGGGCAAAATGGGGAACACCTCCGAAGGTGGTGGAGAAGGGACTTCCAGATCCAGACTGACAAGATGGTAATGGCGAACCAACCAGATATCGTGGTCATAGATAAAGGGCAGAGGAAAGCCGTTGTAGTGGATGTAGCGGTCCCAAGTGATGGAAACATCAGAAAGAAGGAACACGAGAAACTCGAGAAATACTAAGGGCTCAGAGAGGAGATGGAGAGAGCCTGGAAGGAAAAGGTGACAGTCGTGCCTGTGGTGGTCGGAGCACTCGGGGCAGTGACCCCCAAACTAGATGAGTGGTTGCAACAGATCCCGGGAACAACATCGGACATCTCAGTCCAGAAATGTGCAGTGCTGGGAACAGCAAGGATACTGCGCAGAACCCTCAAGCTTCCTGGCCTCTGGTAGAGGACCCGAGCTGAATGAGGGATGGACACCACCCGAGGGGTGAGACGAGGATTTTTTTTTTATTTTTTTTTTTTTATTATTCCCATTCTTTATTTCAAATTAGGAAAATAGTTGCATTATTTAAAATTGACAGAGCAGCAGATGCGCGGACACATTTATGATGATGCAGTGGCGAGTTTGGTCTGTAGCATGTGAGAAAAAAAGGTTAAAATGTTTATTATTGCTTAACAAAGTAAAAAGCAGATGGTTGCAAACGTCTCCCTCTGACAAAAGACAAAGATAATTAGTCTGCTACCATGGATGGCTACACAAATCTGTGAACATTTACTGTTCAGTGGCTAAAAACTTCAAGTTAAACACTGTACCTGGATTTTTAAAATGATTATCAATTAATTTGTCTGTCCTGGTGTTTTTTGTCTTGTAATTGAGTAGTGCAACTGTTTGTATTTTCTCTTTTATGATGCCTGACCTATTACGTTCTTATTTCTGTCATTGCGGTCTTGAGGTTTTATGTGTCTCACTGTGCTACTTTAAAAACCTGCCTTGGGACTACGGCTGAAAACTAGTATTGACGCTCAGTCCGGCGCATTTACACTCTTCTTGTGTTGATTAATGTGCACTGTCCCAGTTAAATGACTAAATAATAATAACACCAAATACCTGGGAAAACTTCACTGTAACAATCTCATATCACTTCACCCCAATTTTACTCGAAGTATATTGTAATTGAGAGCGAGCTTAGGCGGGATTCAAAATAGATGCATGGATTATTCATAAATGCCGACAAATGAAAGCCTCCCCTCCCATCTGCAGCAAGGCAATACGGTAGTCAAGATTTATCACTGAGGTGAAGTATCCATTGCTCAAAATTAGAAAAGTGTTTGTTTTGTGCCTTTTTTTTCAGAAAACTGCTTTGCCGCTGTGTGCAATGATGTCACTGGCATTGTTGTTCAGTCTTTACAGGAAGTCCAGGGATCCAGGACTCCTTTCAGACTCATTTATTAACAGTATCCCACTCTCGATTGCTGACTTAGCAGTGAGATCTCTGCGGATGTCAGCCCCGAGGGAAGCCGTTTTACCGTGTAGCCCTTTGCCCTGCCCTCCTATTCATTTTCCCAGTGCTTGATTTTAATTGCAGAGTGGACACTTCAATATGCGCGCGCCAGCGATGCGATGGTTTTGGAACGGTGCACCGCTATGCTCCAAGAAGCGCAGAAATGAGGCAACCGGAATTAATTGTTAGAAAGCAAGCGAGCGTTTTTGGCATTTTGAAGATGCGGCCAATAAACAATGGTGGTCCACGATCCCAAATGGATTCCGGCGAGTTTTAATGAGATGGCGGTCAGGTTCCGCAATGAAAATGCAAGCTCCTCTTACCATGGTGGTTTCCGTGATGGAACCGAAGCTGTTGATGAAAATATTGCAGGTGACATTCACGGGCGGGCCTGAAGGAGGAAGCACACAGAATCAGAAGAATCGGAACTCACACACAACTCCCCTTCTATGGCAAGTGAAAATGGGGATCCAATAAACAATAAACCAAACCAGCTTGATAGTTCAGATCTGCTTTTAACCTGTAATACCCAATCTTTTAACATAAACTCTCCTTTCTTTTTTTATACATGCTCAAAAAAAAGTCAAAGTGATTCTGCTCATGTTCTTTCTTAGCAGGATGTAAACAATGACGTTTTTTTTAGATAGTTGCTGAAGGGGTCGGTAAAGTAGCTAAATGAAGACTAAAATTGCTAAGTTGGCAACCTTGTTTCTGTTTTTGTTCAGAAACATGTTAGTAGAAGCAGTGCAGGTCAGTGGGGAGGTCATTTGAATTACAGAAGTCTATAAAAAGGTCAATTAAAAAAAAACAAAAAACAAAACAACGCAAAACATCAAATGGTAAACTTTACCCAACCATACTTTCAAACTCCGTTGCTGTTGTCACTGTGCACATCAGAGAAGCTGTAGTTCATATTTGAACCATTTTGAAGTCAAGCAGAACCTCATTGGGCAAACTGAGGTCAGTATACAGGGTGTCCCATACATCTCCATACTTGGGAGAAATAATACATTCCATCCATATCTGGTTCTAACATTTATTTCTTTATATTTCAGATGACCCAGAGAATGCATTTGAACACAAAGCAATGAATTTAAATCATCCTGATGCGGGGCTCAGCAAGCAGTCGTGTGCTTTATGTTTAAAAAAATGTTTCTTTTTCCTGTGTATGGAGACTTAAGAGACACCCTGTACAAATTTTGAATGCAAGACCTTTGTAAATCTAGGAAGACTTTGCTTTTTCTGTGACTTTTTTGCTATATTTGTAAAAATACGATGGACTGTCATCATGGACAGCATATCACAGTCACTCAAGTATGACCCTCATGGGGATAAGCTGTATAGAAAATGGATGGGTGGAGATCACAGATCATGGTAGCTTTGTGCTGCCTAGTTAATATTGCGATCAGTGTCTCGGCCTTCAAAGAGAGCCTGCTTGAGTGTAGTTCACTTTCTGGCCCTTACGTCACACATTTGCTCCGCTTTGTTTTCCCATGTCTGGGCAATGGACCGGCACTTTTTTTTTTTTTTCATGGTGGCTTCCTGGCATGTGTGCCCTTGGCTCTTTCGTTTACCTTTGAAGTTGGGTCTGATGCGGGCATCGTATCCCGATGTTCGTCCCATGAGCTTGTCCAGGAAGTCAGAAGGCGACAGTTGCGGTGCCCTGCCGGGGGGCTTTATCTCCTCCTTACAGGAGCTCAGTCTGACAGGGTGATGGAACACAGACAAAAAGGAGGAGAAGGCGTGTTAATAGAGATGATGTAAATAGCTCGACAACTGTCTCTGTTCTGGTTCATCTTGAAAGTGTTTTATAGGCTCGCGTTGTTCGGGGCCAAACCCATCCAAGCACGTCTTTATGGACCTTGATTTGTGCTCAAGGGCACAGAACATGTTTTCCCCGAACTGTTTGCATTAATTTGGAAACGCAAAACAGTCAAATGTCTTGCTAGCAGGTGGAATTAATATTCGTCGGAGGCCAACCTCTGATTGGTTAATCAGTTGACGAATGGCAATGTCCTCACCTTCAAAGTTGAGCTAAAAAAATTCAAGATCATGTAAAAGGGCAGCAAATAGAATGAGTGCTAAAATATGTGAAAAGGCAATAAATCTCGTTTGTATGTAAAATAATATTTCATAGGAAAAACACAACCTGTTTATATATTTACATGTTCTTTTATCTCTTCTGTTTTGCATTATTATGTGTCTACATATTCATATTACAATACACTAATATTGTTATACGGATTAATTTTATTTCAATTCATTTAAGTGGAGAATATTAGTTAGCAGCATGGTTAACTAATTAATTAAGCATGAGTTAAGGCACTGCTGTACATTAAAACATTGCCTGTACACATACATAAATGTTTTATGAGCCTTGAACTAATGAATTAATTTGACATTTTTTCTTCCAGCGGGAAAACTGTTTTGCAATTAGCACAATGTGATAATCCACCAGTGTCACAGAACAAACGGTGTTCCTTTGTGAAATGAATAGTAGTAGTTGTAATTCAGCAGAAAAGAAAGAAACTACAACTCAGGGGAATACAACACCAAATTTGTCATATTTTGCCCGCTCTCCTGTTGTTGTTTTTGTGACAGATCGACCGACGCTCAATCACAGCTCTTTGAATCTCACAGCGTAAGAAAGAGGGAGGAGAAAGAGGGAGGTGGGTAAGGCAAGGGCCAGCACGGGAGTAATCAACAGCAAAGAGAAAGGGGAGGAGAAAGTCGTAAAGAAGAAGCAAAGTACCAACGAAGAAGCCTTCGGCACTGAATTTGATTTCTTAGCTGGTGGATGCATGCACCCGGTTTAAGATGTAAAAGGATAGTGGCTTTCGTCCCCTCCTGGGTACAGTTTTGCTCCATTCGTGTTTTGTCCACTTCAGCAGGGTTCACACACAGTCACATACTGGCCACATTTCAGCATTTTTTCTTCCCTGCAGTCAAAGTCACAGAAAGGCTCAATGACCAGATCTCTCAAGTGCAAATTCTTGTCTGTGGTCAACAATTCGGACCGTGTGATTGTGACCTGAAACTAAACCATAGCCAAAAACAAAGTGAACGGAAGGTTGCATCCTTGCCAGGCACATATAGAGGACAAATTGCTTATGTTGAGTGGTTGTATCATGTGTCTCACAAGTCATTCGCCACACTAAATATGACAAGATGAGTTTCCAACTGCAATAGTTAGCAGGTAAGCTAACAGTTAGCATAGCTTCTTCTATTTCTTCATGGACGATCGTCAACAGCCCCGATGTCGCATGTCTTACATCAGAGGTGGGCAAACTAAGGTCTTTCTAATCCGGCCCTCCGAAGGTTGGTACACAATTAAGGTTCGATGTGAATGATTGCATTCACTTCATTTGGACTTGTAATGCCAGGCATTTCAACACCAGGTGGCGCAGTTACTTGAAGTTGCAGGGCACAGGGAGGGAGGGGGAGACGAAGAGAGAGGGAGAGGGATAGAGGGAGAAATCTTATCTACCACCGGCAGATCTCTGTCAAACGGAAATTCACGAACCCGGTAAAAAAAAACCAAACTTATGCATTAAACTTTCTACTACTATATTACATGAACGGTCATTTCCTAACAACGGACGTCATACGGAAGCTCGCAGTAGTGCCAACTCCAGCAACTCCCGCTCGATACGATGGAATAAGTGTGTCCGCGCCGCCACTATTTTCTATCATTGGATCCAAAACGGCGAAATGCAAGTGACTCCTGATTGCAGTGAATTTTACTGGAATTGCAAAAGTTTTTAATTTCATTCATTTCCATTTACGTCTTGTAGATCATGGCATCCAAACGAAGAGGAACAGTAATGATCGCGGAAGGGAAAGTGATATGTATCTGATTAAACGAAGCGAGTTACAGAGTACGAAACGTTCAGGAGACGCTTGGAGTCTGAAAGACTCAAATCAACGAGACTTTGAAAAACAAGGAAGCGATTCTCGCTCAATCCGATTCTGGCAATTTCCATGCCCAGAGTGAATTGCTTGCGGCTTGACGGACAGTCGAGTAAATGAACGTTTCCTGGAATGGTTTGACTGTTATTGTGCTAAAAACTTTTCGCAAACTGGACCGCTAATAAGAGAGGTGGCGAGTTCCATAGCGCTAACTATGAGCATGGAAGACTTCGAAGCGTCCCGTGGCTGGCTTCAAAAGTTCGTTGCACGACTTCAGCTGAGCAACGCTGTCTGGTGTGGTGATTGAGGGGAGGTCAAGTTAGAGACAGTGAGCGAGTGGAAAGAAAAGCCACCAGGGTCTGTTACTCGTGTCATTTTATTGCAAATAGTCCTAACTTTGTTGTATTTTGTATATTTTTTATTTTTTTAATTAGTTTTTTTATATAGCTGTACTGTATGCTGCAGTTTTTGTGTTATAAACAGTTTTTGGGCACTATATTGTTGCACTTTGTTGCTTATGTTGTCACACATCTATGTTGTTAACATACTTGGATGTTCATACAGGACATATACCATAGTTGTTTCACTGTTCTTATTTAAAAAGTATGTTAATACTTTAATGCTCTTAACTCTGTTGATGTTTGGTATGACTGTCAACATGTGCAGTTTTTTATATGTACCGTATCTTGTGCTGACCCGGCTCACCTGTCAAATTTTCGAAATCAATGTGGCCCCCCGAACCAAAAAGTTTGCCCACCCCTGTCTTACACCCATGCTTGATTGTAGATTTTAACTGATCATTTTAAAATGTTTTTATACAGTACGCAGGCACGTCTGAATTTAGCACTGAGCGACTTCAGTGTTGTAAAATGTGCAGCAACATTCCAGGCAGCACAGAACTAGAATAGATGCAGCGTAATTAGAGAGCGAGCGCATATGAGGCAGAGAAGTGGTATACTCTATTTGTGTGTTGCTGCTCTGTGTGTGCAGTTATTTGAAGTTTTAGAATTACATTACATTTTTGCTTGCGTTAGCCCGTCTTTGGTGTTTGGTATTGCATGTTCGAGCTTAAGCTTGCAGACTTTTATCAGACAAAATGATATGGTTTGGTTGAACATTTTGGTGTTTTAGTTTACAAATATTATTTACCTTTACTTTTTTTGTCAGTTTCCCAGTAAATTTCATCATAGCAAGGCAAACACGTGTGAGGCAAACACGCTTTGCCTCTTATCTCCCGAACCCAGACACTGACACGCAGATTCAAGTTATTAATCAAGAGTATTTTATAGAGTCTCTCTGCATTGCAGATTTTCACCGATAGCGTGTGTGTCCGAAATGTATACCCAGCAGTCAACAGAGGTTTACTATACTGTACTACTCTTTCTTGTTTTTTGGCATCATGCTGCCTCTCGTTGGCCAATGCTGACACTAAAATAGATATAGTTAAATGTGTGGTGTGCTTTGATGGTAACCTCAACTATATCACACACTTTAAAATCAGTAAGCACTCATGGCAAATCTTTCCTCATAAAAATCCGTTTTTAAAAAAATGGTTTGTGTGTTCCCCCTGCATTTCGACTCCCATACTGATAGCAGCTCCAGGCCACTCTGAAGAGTTTGTTTTGGGCGAGATTTGGCGAACCATCATCTTATAACACACTATAAGCCTCTGGGAGGAGGTGAGGGCTCGTCACCATTGCGAAAAAATAATGCTTCCACCCTCCGGACCAATTAGGCTGAAACTTTCTTGCATGGTTACTCGGGCTGAATGTTTGTGTGCTAGCTTTATAAGCAGCTCCTAACATACGCGAGGATTCATTGAAATTCATCTCCAAAAGGGGATTTGGGCTTTAATGAATGTTGTCATCCATGTTGATTTAGGCTGTTTTCACACTAAAACATTGTACTCGGGTTTTAATCGAATACGATTGTCAATCATCCCACCAGCCTCCACCCCCGGTGACTGACGTTCCTCATTTCAGTTGATGCGATCTGTCTGGCAAATGTTTTAAAGGTGACAAAACTACACATAAGAATCTTGAAAGATCACTCAAATCCTGAATTTGATTGGCATGTAGTTATACGTACACTCTGTGGCAGTACATCAACGTCTGAATGAGGATAATTTGCTCGTAATTTGCTGTCCAATTACATGATCGATACATCATCAAGCCTGTGGGGATGGTCTAATCTTCTTTAACTCGAAGGCAATTTTAGGGCATCTTTCTAATCTTAGGGGGCACATCGAAAATTAATGATCTGGAAGCTGAGTGTTCCTGCAGTCGTACAAATGGGAATTCGGGGAAAAATATTTTGTATTAATCAGCCAAACAAACCAAAAAGCCTCGAATGTAGAGTTGAATCACTGTCATGCCCGACAGGGCTTGGCATTCTTCCCGATATGCGTGCATAGGTAGCCAACTTTTCAGTGTGGCTGGTAACGCCCCCCCCCCCCAAAAAAAAAAACAACTAACAAATATGATCACACTAGTGTGAATGCGTGTCTTAACGCTCTTACTGGTACTTGGGTGTGATACATACAGTGAAAGCGCTTGGAATGCCTATCTGCGTCCGTCTGTCAGATTATGCACACAGGCCAGATAAGGCCATCTGTGACATGCGTCGGGTTAAATCTTCCCTGTATAAAATAAATAAATGACCAAGACTGGCCATCTAACTAAATGAGCACTTTTTGCGATTCATACTGTTAGGTACTACTGTTGTAAAACACAATATGTATTTTAGGGATGTGTATCGATAAGATTTTATCGATACTACTTCTCTTTACAATGC